GTTTGGCCAGAGGGAATAAGTTCTCCAACTTACCCAGCTTAACTTGGCTTCGCTGCTTCGAGGCCGTTTGTTGTTCTAAAAACAGATTATAATCGGTGAGGTTTGTCTCATCCATTGGCAGGTCGCGCTCGGATGAGAAGCGCCGCTCCTCTCGACTTCGCAATGGATCCTCGTTTTCTTCTCACACTCACCTGCCTTTCTTTTGTCTTTTGAGTCTGTCTGACTTTTATCGGCATTCAGAGTAGGCAATAAATCAGGTGCAGTAAGACTTGAGCGATGGATCGACGCCTGAATGCTGACTTCTATACATTTATTTCTCCCGTAGTGGACCTTCGCGCTTATCTGGAGGAAGCATACGCAACCAAAGAAAAAGTTGATGGTATGTGGATATAACTTCTCTTTTATTATAATAATCCTCCATTGACTGTGAAAGTAAGCGTAGAAGTGTAATCTCTTCATCCGTTTGAGATCCTCTTCTTTTACCTAGAAACAAATTACAATTATTCTTCATTTGGCTGTGTTAGAACGCAACTGTGTGTATAGATTTCTTCCTGGTTACTGCACGTGATCCCTCTGCAACGACAAAAGCTGAGGATCGTAGCTTCGACATGAAGAAAGACTTCGCAGCTATCGCGAACTGTAAACCGTGGACAGCGAATAAAATATTTGACGGCGATTTGCAGTAAGCAGTATTGTTTTTCTGCTCCCTTACAATATCTCTTGATTAAAATTTTAGACCAACAAGATTTCTTGCATGTCCACAACAACGAACCTATGAAGAGATCAATGGAATACACAATATTCCTCCGAATCCTAAGTTGCGAGTGCAGAAGTGAGTGTTTCTGCAAATCTGCTTCTGTTTTGAACCATTTCATATGTGTCTATTATGGCTTCTTTCAATATAGCACAGGTATGCTCTTGAAAGGAATGAGTATGCAAAGAATGCTCAACGAAAATCCAATTATTTGCGGACATTGAAGTACGATAAGTTTGAAATGTACGAAAAAGATGTGAGTTTAGGCGTTAAGCTTTCAAATTATTTTGCAACACTTTTTTCCTATCTGGAATGTATTTTGTATGTTTGCTCATCATTTGAATTGCTCAAAATAAGGTCAACGAAACGAAAATAGGAT